AGAAAGAGGAACAGCTGTTTTGGACCAGACTGTGGCCAGCCTGACACGAATCCACTTACACTACAGGTTTTATTGCCTAGTACTTGTGTGTTTCATCTTGGGGTTTAGCAACTTATCGTGCGCATTAGGGTTCACTCTAGTGAATTTCCCTGACTATCTGGTTTTGCTTTAGCTACTATGCAAAACAATCGCGAGATCTGGTGTCCGCAATACGGTTTCGTGATTAAGACCCTTGTGCAGACAGTCTGTGACAGTTCTGTCTCTTTCGCTGAACGAATATTGCGAAATTCCACCTATCCTCTTCACGTAGATCTAATAACCTGCTACTCTCATGATTCCGCTAAGCAAGATATCTTTATCATCTCGAAAACAAGAACTGAGCTGCCAATGGTCCCGCTCAATTCGTACTCTCCTGAATCCCTCATGCCGTAAAATGCCATCTCATGCTTCATATAAGTAATGCGTAACAACTCTTGCCGTGCTATGCCGTATATACGTCGGTTCAGAAAGTAGAAAAAGGCATCATACTGCATAGCGTCATAAGTACTGAATCCTGAATACGTATTGATTAAATTATTTCCACTGGTGTTTCGAACACGTTGCTGGTCGATCCAACAGTGATAGGTTTTGCGTCCACGCCCTCAGGATGCTTAAATGCCAGAATCGAGACCTGCTAAAATGACCCGCTTGAGGTTCATAGAGACAAAACAGCTATGCAATTATGTCGTGTAAACCTGGAATAATAAAACGCAACTATTAAGCTAATGACACATTTCATGCAATTTGTCAAGAAGATCCTGTGCATACTGTCAATCAGAAAAACGCTATGATACTTAAGGACACGATTTTGTATTTCTGATTTTGTTAGGTATATGTAAAACAACTGTTCTACTACGGTATCATGCCATTTAACGATAATGAATAACATCTGAAAGTACTAGAGTTAAAACTGTACTTGATAATGTGTTCCGTCAGAACTAAGGTAAGTCGTTGTTGTTCATGGTTTAGTTAACTCGTCGTCAAAGCGTGTTGGCACAGTTGTTTAAGAGGTCTACCTTGCACTTTGAACACCGAAGGAGCGGGGTTTGATTCCCCTCGAGGGCAATCTTTGTCTTCTCACGAAATCCCTGAGAAAGGAATTAATCACACACTGTTTCAGACCGGGGTTGGTGAGTTGGTAGACCGTCGAACTCCAGGAACCGAGTTCCAGCTCTGATCAGAGTCATTCACCCTTTATCTTTCTGAGGTTGATAAATGAGTACCACTCTGTGGGAAGTTAACGAGAGACTACACGCTACGCTTGCCACATAGCTGTAGATTCAGCGTCAGAACAGACAAGGTATAGAAACTTCTATGTGATGGCATAGAAACGGAAATCAGCACGAAACATCAACTTCATGAAAAGAAGAGAGTCAAGATGGCCAAATCACGAAAAGTAAGAACAACCTACAATCCAAAGTTTACCAACCTTCTCTTTCTTTTCTTTTCCAACTGGTCGGATGAAGACGAAAGATTACGGAAGAAACAGCGTCACTCCTAAGATGTAACGCAGGCATTTCTGTGGCCTGTAGTGCGAATCCCTACCACGCTAATTTCTAGGTATCAACCCATATTTCTAGGTATTATGTGAAAAAAGCTGGGAAATTCAAATAGCAAATGCACCTTGGCCACAACTCAGCTAAGCTTTTCACTTTTCGTCGCAATAGCCCATCAAGCAAAAAAAAACTAGACCGCTACTGATGATACTCAAGAAGTATGAGAGGAAGCGGATTTCTCAAGTGTAAGGCGCCATGAGATATCTTTAATAAGATTAATAATGCACTGACGCTCGTCCCTTCGAAGTGATTCTATCACAGGCACAGTGAATTTGCCATCAGGAGAGCAAGTGCGACTCTAATGCTTTCGACCGCTGCGATACCACACGAACGTAAGCAACTTCATTTTCGACAAAACGTACCGCGCGTCGTCTTTCTGCGTAGCGTCGTGAATCAGCACATGGTACTTGAAAATATTCGGACTAAACCATCGTGGAACGGAAGCGTATTTACTGCGACGAATTGCGAACGACTCGGCAGCATCAGGACCGACGTGCTGAAGCGTGTGCTGGTACTGCTCTAAACGATTCAGCTGCTCTATTGGATCGCTGTCCAACGTACTGACCACAAATATACCTAAATGTCAATGACTCTATACTGCTACTCGACAAACAATGAAACGGCAGTAAAATTATCAACATTCCAATAGGAAAAGCAATTATTACTACTATCAAGCAAATGGAAAATGCGTGCAATGCAAAAGGGCGTAAAAACTGTATGACAAAATGAGATAAATTATTACCCCGATGTTCCTGGGTAGCTACCACGAGTGGTAGCTTTCTAGTTCCGATAATAAATATTACATTTCAATTACTGTTACCGCATTTACAAAGCATTTAGAAAACGCACAGCCCTTTGATTCTAGTCGCTTAGAGGAATCATTTAAGCACGTCACCGCTCACTAGCTTTTAGGCGCCTGCAGTGCGTCAGATGGAAGACCGTGC